ATTCCAAGAGTATCTGTTTGGAAATTTTTCAGCACTTCAATCTATTTGTAAAAAAAACTTCTGTCCCTGTATATCCTTATATCCTTTCCTATTTTTGATCTTGTATTCATGTATATTTGCTTTATCTAGTTGATTTTCTTCATAATAGTCATTGCAGGTTAATTGCCTATTAGGCTTTATATTTCTGTATCAACATAATTGATTTCTGAGGATTTTTTTTTCCTTGTGTCTCAGGATTTAAATTTGTTTTTATGGTTTGGAAGGTTGAGACCTATGCATTTTTTTCCCCAGTAGGAGACACTGTGGCTCTAGATCTGAGATCTTTGTTTTACAGAACCCAGAATGTGTTGGGACATAGTTTATTAAGTTGGTGGTACTGGCGTTTGCCTTGCATGCGGCCAACTTGGCTGACCTGAGTTCGATTCCTCTGCCCCTCTCAAAGAGCCCAGCAAGCTACCAAGAGTACCTCACCCATACGGCAAAGCCTGGCAAGCTATCCATGACGTATTCTATATGCCAAACACAGTAACAAGTCTCACAATGGAGATGTTACTGGGCCCACTCAAGCAAATTGATGAACAACAGGAGTACAGTTCTATAGTGCTACTCTTACCTTGCTGCCCTAGATGAGGGCTATGAAATTTATCACTATACCCATGGTTCACAACCATACCTGTTCTGACTTAATTCATTGTCTGTGGTCTCTATTCCCTCCTCTAGAACGTAGTTGCTCATATCTGTTGCAGTTGGTAGCTTACTCTGGAAATAGATGTTCTTGAATTTCCAAAGTGGAGCGGGACCTCTGCTTGCCAGGCTATGCATGCTACAACCACTATGTCCAATGTCCAAAGGCAGTATCCAACTATACAATAGCTGCTTGAATCTGATCCCCCTCTGCAAAGGAGCTCTCTAGAGTCCTGAAGACTAGCATATCTCCAAAGTCCTGGCAACTTCTTAGCTCTGAAGGTGCAAAGGGCGGGGATCCTACTTGTCAAGAAATGTCTGCTAAAGATGACGGGATTTCGTATGGACACAGAACTCAGGCAGCCATGTGAACTTTCTTTATTCGATGTAGACAGTCACTGGAGACTCAGAGATCTGTGAACCCCAATGTCCTGGCCTTTTCTCCTTGGATACAACCAATACAGCCCAAAGTCTTTTCCTGCTAGGTTGTCTCTCTGCTGCACTGAGCAGTAGAGCAGGTTTAGATAGCCCAAGAAAACTTCATTTCATTGGCACTTATTACCTTCCTGTATCAGCAAAGGGAAAGAGAAAACTGGGATTTAAACTGCATTCTAAACTACAAAACACTACTTCAGGATATAAAAGAGGACACGAGGAAATGGAAAGATATCCCCTGCTCATGGATTGGGAGAATTAACATAGTCAAAATGGCAATTCTTCCCAAAGCATTGTACAAATTTAATGCTATCCCTATAACGATACCCATGACATTCTTCAAAGAAATGAAGCAAACACTCCTGAAATTCATACGGAACAATAAGCCCCCATGAATAGCTAAAGCAATTCTTGGGAAAAGGAAAATGGGAGGAATCAACCTCCCTAACCTCAAACTCTATTACAAAGCAGTAATAATTAAAACAGCATGGTACTGGAACAAAGGCAGAGCTGGAGACCAATGGAACAGGGTTGAATATACTGACATCTCCCCTCAAACATATGATCATCTAATCTTTAATAAAGGAGCAATAAATGTGAAGTGGAGTAAGGAAAGCTTCTTTAACAAATTGTGCTGGCAAAACTGGACAGCAACATGCAAAAAAATGGGCTCAGATCTCTGCCTAACACCATGTACAAAAGTAAGATCAAAAGACCTCAACATCAGACCGGAATCCATAAGGTACATTGAAGACAAAGTTGGCAAAACCTTCCATGACACTGAAGCTAATGGTATCTTCAGAGATATCACGCCACTGGCCAAGCAAGTGAAAACAGAGATAGAAAAATGGGCCTGATGCATCTATTCAGTCATGTTTTATAATTACATTTTATAATTATGTTATTTAAAAAATAATCTCTAATATTTCTTCTTGCAACAAAGAAATTTATCCAAATTTTATAATAAGAGCCATAGTACAGGCTGATAAGGCTCTAGTCCTGCAATGCACCAACCCTGTTTCAATCCCCAGCACTGCAGTCCCTAGAGCACCACCATGGGTCACTCCTGAGCACAGAGCCAGGAATATCGCTTGAGCACCAGAGGGTGTGGTCCAACCTCCTTCCACCACAACACACAAAATTTAATACAGCAACATCTTCAATTTCTCAGGCAGAAACATATCCATAATTTTTAATAAGGAAGTCATATTGTCAATTAATGAGTTATTTAATTACCAAGGATACCAAACTTTGGTCAGCAGATGTTTGTTCTATACCAGTGTCAAAATAGGTGTTTTTGATGTAGGCATTTATTTTTATGTTCCAAACTTAATTGGGGCCTTCATAACTTACTGAGGTTGGTTTTGATTAGACCTTAAAAATGATTAGTTTTCCCAAATTGAAAAACTGTCCTTAACAATGAGCTATTTTTCCAAATTGAGAATATGCTAATAAGAAATGGACAACCAAATCTCTTCCCTGCACCTTCTTCCTTCATGAGCCAAATTTTCTCTGTCCAAAGATGGCAATCAATGATGAAGGTCAGAGAAGAGTGATGATTAAAGGGAAGGTACTCAAGTGGGGGGTACAATGGAAATGGAACATTAACTAGGAATGGAACATTAACATTAATATCAATCACATTTGCTCACCTTTGCTCTACGCTCAGGAAAAACTGCTAGTTTTTTGTTGATAATTTACTTGTCACTTCAATAGTTCTGTATCTAAAAATTTGTGACTTCTCTAAAGCAATCTATTATCAGCTGACAGATTTGAATAATAATGGAATGATTTTCCATTTGAATATCAAAAGGACAGCACCCCATCTGATTATACACTATGCACATTATGCAATGGAAAGGATACATTTGCAGTCACAGTATTTTCATTTTCTTAACCTACAGACTGCACAAACTTTTCTTATACTACAATTCCTTCAAAATACTATTTCGTATATTTGTGATAAAATTCTTGTTTAGTGATGATTTTAGGGACCAAACGAATACCTGCTTAACTGCTAGTACAGTTTCTATAGTCTGGCACTTAAATAATTTGTAATATGTACAATAGGTACAAAATTTTTCAAACAACCCAGAAATGAAGAAAATGAATGTATCTGATAATGGGTGTGATAAGGAAATTCTGTTGCATATATAATAACTTGCTAATGACTCTTCTGAAGAGAGAAATTTTATATTTTGATAAGTTCATCTTCAGGGTAATCTTTTAAATATCCTTGGATCATGTTAAAATCTTAAAGGTAGACTGTTTTTGCAACCAGGAAGAAATCATTCTGCCAAATTTAGCAAATAAATAGGTACTCAAACTGAATTAATTTTTTTGATTAGGCTAGAGAGACACCTCAACAGACTGAGCATGTGATTTGCATTCAAGAGGCCTGCATTCAATCACTGGCAATGCCCAGCACAGAGTGGTGGTAGTACATGAGACCAGCCAGGTGTGACCCTTCTACTAAAAAAAAAAAAAAAAAAACCAAAAAACACAACTCTTAAATTAAAAAAACCCTAACTGCCTATAAAAGTGACTGAAAATTGTTTTTATGTAAACTGGCTATAAATTTTAAAAAATCAAAATGATTGTGAAAGCAGCAGCATTTTTGAAACTGGTTTCCAGCATCTAAAGCAGTAATTTGAATGACCACTGTCTTTAGAAATAAAAGTAGGGCCTGGAGAGATAACACATTGGGTACGGAGCTTGCCCTGCACATTGCTGATCAGAGTTGGCACCCCAAGTTATCCCATGAGCACCACCAAGAGTAATCCAGGAGCAGAGAGCCAGAAGTAAAGTCCTGGGCACAGCTGGGTATAACCCCAAAACAAAGAAAATACATAAATGACAACAGGTTGGGTGGAGGCAGAGAGTTCATGACTCTGTAGGCCCACTCTGAGGTAAGTATCTATCCTCATAAAAGTTTCAACTGCAGGCAGCAGGCCCAGGTAGACACCACATATGGTTGCACAACACTGCCATGAGCGATCCCTAAACAGAGAATCAGAAGCAAGTCCTGAGCACCTCAGGGTATGTCCCCAAAACAGAAGATCCAGTTAAATCATTTTGCCAAGAAATAAAGTTTGTTTTTCAAAGATACTCTTCCTTGAATTTGAGTAAAAGAAAACTTTCAAAAGTCAAGTAAATGAAAAAAGAAGGGAGTGAAATGAGACCATAAAAGATCAGCAAAATCAATTAAAAGCAAACAGTTGACAAACCAGCAAAATCTTGAAGCTCTACAAACAATGTAACACACATACTTGCAGAATTTTTTAATATTCATTAAAAACATTAAAGTCATTAAATCTCATTTTAAAACTTCTTTAAAAAGAGAAAACTTGCTACTCAATACCCAGAGATACCAGTAGCTCAAAAACCCCACTAGATTTATTCGCTACTTAGGGTCTCTACTATGACAACCACTAAGCTATCTTTGAGATCCCTGTGGCATCGCATTTCTGTAAGAGATTAAAGTTCTTACAGACGGAAGACAAAGGAATTTGTTCCCTACTTCAAGTACTTGCTCCTACTGTAACAACAGAAATCATTCTGTCCTTCTAAGTAGCACTTTTAGAGGAACTGTCCCAGAAGCCTAACAGGCCTCAACTCTTAAATAAATAAGTAACGAGCAAATTTTTAAACATTCTAATGAGCAGTAGGCTGGTTCTCTTTCAAGCGTTCAATTTGGTTGCATGACTGGACCGGGGACAACTCTGAGCAGACAAGTTCTAATCGGCGCTCCCACGAGGGCTGCCGGCTTCGTTTGGGTATAATCACTTTTCTTTTGTGGGTGCTTCGGCCGTCTGGGCTACAAAATGAGGGTGACTTAATAGCCACGGCCCACACAAGGCTGCTTTGAAGTCAACTAATTAATGCTCTCCTGGGTGCACTTGGGACTATTTGATGCTCCCAAAAATAATAATAATAATAAAAATAGACTGAGTCTAGCTCCCAACGCACAAGGCAGCGCGGTGCCCACGGCAGTGCTTATTGAGACGCTAACAATGCTCCCCTCCCCCCGGACCCCGTCCCCGCCGCCGCCCGGGCTGCCTCGCTCACGCCTGACCTCCGCCTGGCACGAAGTCTGGACCCTCCGGAACCACGGGGCAACCAGAGCAGCCGAAGAGCGACACCGACCTGGGCCAGACAACAGAGTGGGTCGGCGCCAGGGAAGAGGCCCCGAAGGGGGTGTGCGCGGGCGCTCGCCACCAGCTGGGAGGGCGCGACCCGCCGCCACCGCCGCCCGCGGGCCCCGGGGCGTGCAGCCCCCGCCCCCGCCCCCGCCCGCTCCTCCCCGAGCCCCCGAGCCTCGCCGCCGGGTCTCGCGTGTCCACGGCCGCGTCAGCCCACCCGAGGCCCCGGGCGAGGAGCCTCAGGTGCTCCGGCCGTCGCGTCCGCCGCCGCGTCAGCTGAGGCCGGGGCGGGGGGCGGGCGGGGTCGGGGCGGGCCGGGCTCGGAGCGGCCGTCGCGGGAGCGCCGGGGCGGCGGGGCCCGCGCCGCGGACGGCAGGGCCTGAGCGGGCCGAGGCCGAGCCGGGGGCCGAGACGCCGCCGCCGCCGCCGCCGCCGCCGCCGCGCCCCGCGGGGCTCCCCACCCTCCCCAGCCCAGCGCCGCGCCCGCCTCACCTGCGTCCGCGTCCCGGAGCCGCCGGCTCCCTCCGCGCCCCCTCCCGGCCCGCCCCGCCGCCAGCCGCGGGCTCTGAGGAAGCGCCGTGGCTCCGGCGGCGGCGGCGGCGCTGCGGGGTCGCGGAGACGGGAAGCGGCAGGAGCCAAACCCCGCGGAAAGCGCTCGGGTTGGCGCGGCGGCCCCGAGCCCGGGGCTGGAGTTTCGGCCCGGGAGTGCCGGCGCCCCGCGCGCTCCCCCGCCTCGCCGCGGCGGCGCTTCCGGGGGGCGGGTGTGGTGGGCGGTGCCCGGCGCTGACCCCGCGCGCGCTCGCGGGGCCGCGACACGCCGTGGGAAACTTGCTCGCCCCTCGCCTCGGCGCGCCCCGCCTCCAGGAGGCCACCGGCTGGGTGGGCGAGGACCCACCCTCCTCCCCCCACCCTGCTCGTTCCGCGCCGGAGAATCCGCCCAGCACCGAGAACCCCTGGAGAGGATGAAGTTGGGTTTTTTTTTGGTTTGGTTTGGTTTTGTTTTCTCCTGCTCGTGGACCTGCTCGCTTACCCTGCGGAGCTCCTCGTCGCACCCGGGCGCGACCGGGACGAACCAACCGCCGAGGCGTGCTTGACTGCACGTGACTCTCGGCAAATTACAGTTGCCAGCCGGGATGATGCCTGCGGTCAACCCCACGGGTGGTTATTCAGGGAACGAGGGGGAACTTGGTCAGCGCGGACAGTTGCCTCATCAGTGCCCCAGATCGGAGCAATGAAAATCGATATCCGAAGACTAAATAATGAGTCCGTCTTTTAGGGTCAAGAGAGAAGGTACAAACGGGGGTGGTGCTTGCCTTGCACGTTGGCGACCCGGGTTCGATCCCCAGCAACCCCTAGAGCCCGCCAGCAGTGACTCCTGAATGCAGAATCTAGAGTAGGCCCTGGGCACAGCTGGGTGTGAACCAAACACCAAAAACCAACCCAACCTCCCCCCAAAAAGCTAGTCCTTCAAGGCTGTCCAGAAAGCTCAAAGGGCTAAATGCCCCACTCACCAGTACTACCCTGAGTGACCCTGAATCCGAAGCACCAAGCTAGGGTTAAGCCCCCATACACCACCTGCTTCCCCTCCACCCCATGCTGTATCATTAATAATATAAATACAATTTAAAACAATAATAGGAAGTATTCCAGTCAGTGATTGTGAAGAAAGAAGTCTAATGTTAGAAAAAGGTATGGCGAAATGAACATTCTCCCTGGGATGATGAACAGCTAAATCCTGCTAGTTAGCAATTCAGGAGTATCAAGTGAACTCAATTCAAGTGAAAATTCAAGTGAAAAAATTTAAATGTGCTGCCCAGAGAGATACTACATTCTCTGTTTAAGGTACTGCCTTGCACAGCCAATCAGGGTTGAAAACCTGCACCCCATCTGGTACCCCAAACCCTGACAGGAATAATCCCTGAGCACCCACTGGATGTGAACCCAGGCCCCAAAATAAATAAATACACTATTTTGAAAGTATGATTTTCTTTACTTTAGGTAGCTACTATAATAATCAGTCGGGGTTAAAAAAGTAATTTCTATATCTATAAAATGAGCATTAATTCCACTAACTTTTCTTATAAGTAGTTAATTTCAGATAAGTAACTACCCCAGAGTGGTGTCTGCTGTCCCTTACCTTAGAGTTGTTCTTTGAAAGTTATTAATGCAAAATAAGTTTATATAACTTATCATTTATCTTACACTATGCCTATGGGTTTCAGAAAGGTTGTCCCTTTCATCTCCCAGTGCTAGGGCATCCATGCCAAATGACAGTTGTTTGGTTCCAGAATTGAAACATTTTGGGGAAATGATCATTGTTTATCAGAAAGATGAACAGAGGGAGATGAAAGAAAAAGCAAACATCCATCATTTTATATATGCTGTCTTCCCAAAGCAATTCAAACAAATGTAAACTCTTAAATATTGTGATATTTCTCATTCTAGCTCACTCTCTGCCATCATCAAAGTCTGAGTCTGTTACATATATTGCTTTCCCTGAAAAAAAGCCAAGATAGCAGTGTTCCCTACTTTTATGACCTTGGGCACTGTGGACATGGAATTCAAAAATAAGATCAGACTAGTAAAATACTATTTTATATATCTGTCTCATATTCTCTAATATTCAGAGTGACTGTTACTTCTGTCCTTTAATGAAGGGATTTATTCTTTCCAATAACTTTACTATTAAACAAGCCCATGTCAATAATTTTCAAAAGATTATGGTTTGAAACTTATTTTTGACAGAGTATTAATCATAGGACAAGGTTTTAGGCACATTATAGAACAAAGTTCTAGACACATCTATAAAAGTAGACTTTTGAATAAGTAGTATAATTTTTATCATTTGGAATATGCACAGTGGAACAATATGAATGCCATTCTGATGGAAGAATTAAGCCTAGATCTTTCATTGATAATGTGTGGCTTTTGATCTATGTAGAACTGTTTCCTTACCTGTGAAAACAAAAAAATAGAATTCTAAAACTTATCTTGAAAACTCCATAGCACAGCAGTAGGGCGTTTGCCTTGCACGCAGCCTATCTGGCTGACCCAGGTTTGATTCCTCCACCCCTCTCGGAGAGCCTGGCAAGCTACCGAGAGTATTTCGCCCACACGGCAAAGCCTGGCAAGCTACCTGTGACATCACAGGTATGCCAAACACAGTAACAACAAGTCTCACACTGGAGACATTACTGGAGCTCATTCAAGCAAATCGATGAACAACGGGAAGACAGTGACAGTGACAGTGATCTTGAAAACTTGGGCCGCATAAAAATTTAGCTCTGCCCATCTAATCCAAATCTAGATCTGAACTCAAGTCCAGACTTGAGTGAGAACTCATCTTTAGTGACTGTCTCAGTATTTGGAGAACCAAATGTCAAGTGATGAGTAGCCCGTCATTTTGGAGAATCATTTTTAAATTTTGAAAACAAATTAGATGGACCATTTCGCTATGTCACCAGATACACAATTCAAGAAAAATTATTCTGTCAGATTGACTGAGTAAAGTACTGCATACAAAAAAGAATGCAATGGGAGAGAGAAGGGTATACTAGGGCTATAAGTCTGTTTCCTAAGTCTACTTCAGGCAGCATTTTGTTCAGTTAAAGAATGTGAATTTGGGATTATCATCAAAATTTATCTGTTACCAATAACAAAATATTTGAGGACATAAAGTTAAGAGGCAATCATCTTAGTTGGTTATTATTATAGATTAATAACTAATGACCGCTTTCTATCAAACAACTTTTATACCATTACCAAACTCATTTCAAGGTGAGCATTTAATATCATAAATGGACAAAGCAGAGACTACATAAGCAACCTACTAGCTATAATACTAAGTGGAGTAATGATTGTGTTTTGATGCTAAACTTTTAAAATAACTATAATTTAACCCTAACATTGCAGTAATATTTTAAAACAATAATTTGGCTTCGTTTTGACACTCATTCAATTTTGTCTTGACTTTGGCATTGAATGCTGTTGCAAACATTTAGTTACTAGTCAAAATGTATATTTTCTGCATTCCTTGGAGAACTTAATTCCAATCCAATTCAGCAGCTGCTTTCATAGTATCTTAGAAGATAGCTGTTCATTCAGATGAGGAATCTCAGCAATGAGAAATTCACTTTTGAATAAGGTAAATTCCTATTTTTTGTTTATGGATGAGCTCTAATTTCACTGTACTCTGTCCTCCTGTTGTTTATCTATTTGCTTGAGCAGGCACCAGTAACGTCTCCATTGTGAGACTTGTTGTTACTGTTTTTAGCAAATTGAATATGCCACGGGGAATTTGCCAGGCTCTGCCATGTGGATGGGATACTCTCCGTAGCTTGCCGGGCTTTCCAAGAGGGATGGAGGAATCAAACCCAGGTTGGCTACATGTAAGGCAAATGCCCTACCCGCTATGCTATCGCTGTCTTACCTTGAAGAGTTAGTCCTTTATTGATTTAGTAAATGCTCTCACACTTCTTTCCAGGCTATGAGTTCAGAACCTCCAACCATTTATGACACATATTGGTCAGGCCCTTCAATCCTCAAGCTCTCATCTAATATTTGATGGATACCTAAAAGTGCAAAACCTAGGGCCTATGCTTCCTTTCACACAAGAGATTTTATTTTCTTTTTGGGCCACACCTGGCAATGCACAGGGGTTATTCCTGGCTCTGCACTCAGGAATTACTCCTGGCGGTGCTCAGGGTACCATATGGGATGCTGGAAATCGAACCCGGGTCGGCCGCGTGCAAGGCAAATGTCCTACCCACTATGCTATCGCTCCAGCCCCATCACACAGAGACTTTTATTGAGCAAATATGTGGTAGAACTCTTGTAGGAAGATACAGGGTGAATAAGATAGATAAAAGTTCTTATCCTGTAGGACGGGAGAAGTATCTCAAAGGGCCCAGAGTGCCTGCCTGACATGAGGATTGATGGAGAGATCCAAACACAGCAGGACTCTCCAAGTACCTTGAGGATCAGCCCTAAGCAAATCTGGGTGTGGCTCCCAACCAAGGAAAAAATAAAAAATCCTTCCCCTAAAGTTTTCATCCTTATGAGGAAAGAGAACAAACAGATAAATAAAGTGTCATGTTAAAGAGTAATACAGGGTATGGAGAAAGAAAACAAAACAGTGAAGAGAAATAGGATCTTTAAAAAATAGGTGTAATAATTTAAAGCAGTGTTCATGAAAGACTTTATTGAGGTGACTGTGCTAGTTATCTTCTACTCAGAAGTAGGGGAACCTTTTTCCTTCTAAGGGTCATTTATATATTTATTGCATCATTTTCAAGTCATTCCTCCACTCCTGAGAGCCCAGCAAGCTACCAAGATTATCTCGCCCACACGGCGAAGCCTGGCAAGCTACTCGTGACGTATTCGATATGCCAAACACAGTAACAACAAGTCTCACAATGTTACTGGGCACGCTCGAGCAAAATCGATGAACAACGGGAGGACAGTGACAGTGACAATTCAAGCAATCAGAAAGAAGCATACATGTCTGTTCTGTCATATATTAGAACCAGATAACATGATTTCTCAGGCCTTACATACTGGACACACCATCCCAGCCCCACCTCTGAAATGGACTTCTTTCACATGTTCTTCCTCATCTCTATCTTAGGAGAGTATGAAAAAATGAATATTTTTTGTATCATTTGCCTTCTGTTAACCTGTTGGGGATCCATAGTTAAGAATCTAGAGGGAAGGGGAAAGTGAGGTAACTATATTTATTCACTTGTTAGGCATTGAGAATGCTCAGTTGACTGTATTTCTGAATCAAAAGCTCAGATCTTTTAAAGGCTGGATTCACTGTGAGACTCTCGCTCCCCTTCTGGTTCCTGTAGCTAATACCTCTCGTCCTTTTAGATCTAGAGTGGTGAGTGCTAAGTTACTGCACTACCTTTTGTGCTTTATCTTCAGCTACACTTCTGAAAACAGTCTTTGTTCACAGGCCTTCCTTG